TTCGCTGATCTTTCATCTTTCAAAGGAATCCCTGATTTAGACTAATCTCAGACCAGACATGGCTCGTCTAATTAACTGAACGCGTTTTATGAATTATAATACGTTATAAAATATTAATAGAGATAGCAAGAAATAGCATATCATAATTGACTTGAATTAACAATAATAGGAAAAAATTGATAGAACTAATACGACCTCGTTGATTCTACTCTATCGGGACATTAACGGAGAATATTGTCGTATTGTTATTCGGTAACCAAAATTCATAGAAAAAGAGATACTAGATACTAGACGCGTGGGATGTCGTCGAGGAATTTAGGCTCGTGGGCGATCGCTATTCGCGGCATTTCCGCCGCTTTCCATGCTAATTTCTCCCTCGAACGGCGATTGAATCGATTGATTCTCCCTTTTCAGGTGAGGAACAGCACGGTGAGCCTCGCGCGCGAGCCGATGAGCCTGAAGGAGGCCGTGCCCTGCAACGAGAAGTCGACCGAGCCAAGGCGGGCGCAGCGCGGCGACTACTGGGTCCTGTACAATTACGTGCCGATGAGCATGGCGGTGAAATGCTGGGAGAGCGTGACATACACCACGCACGCCGACTACACGTTCCTCGACAATCTGGAGCCGCTGCTGGAGCGCTGGCGAGCGCCGATATCGATCGCCATGCATGCACCCGGCACCGATTTTCCGGCGACCCTCGACGCCATCAGGTACTCGAGGAACTGCGGCACCCCCTTGGTCTCACAGCTGGTGACCTTCCACGTCTTCTTCAGCAGTAAACACGTGCCAAAAGTGGTAAATAGACGGCCCGACGAAGTCTAAGACGAAGTCCTCCTCGAGTTCCATCTTGCCTGCTCTTGAATCCCTCTTGAGTTCCGGATGTCTAAGAGTAACGTCTGCACGGCGAACGTCTCAAGTCGATGTGACGAAGGAGCATCTGTTCCCTGTTAACCACTTGTCTGTTATTGAATGTACCGTGTGTTCGCCAAGTCCTTCCTGGGCTCTGCACACATGAATCTAATCACATCTCGCGAGTATCGAGTACGCTGATATAACACGTTTGCTTTGTGAATAGTTCGCTTTTAGAATTTACACGACGAAGCTACGATATTAAACATTATACCTATTTTTATGATTATCGTTTGAAACTATCAATATTCAATGCGAGATTTTTCAGATATTCTCCGTAGATTTTTTTCATTGGATCAAGATTTTTTTAAATATCGCTTTTTGCAGTTGTCGATTATTTCACATAAAAATTAGTAACATTAACGTTGCATTTCTCACGCGCGAAGTAATTATTATTAAAATTACATAAAACATTTGAAACCAATAAAATATTTATATTAAATATGAAATCTTTCAATCAAATAAAATAGATCGTCATCGCTTTCTCTGTAGTTGTCGGCCTTTTCATACAAAATTCGACGAGATTAATCAGCGATTCAAAGCCAGACGTTACATTTTCACGCGATAATTTGGTTCTCAAATGTACTGCATGAATTTACTTTATGCATATGCAATTCGTCCGCGAAGAGTATTTAGTATTTCGTATCACGAATTGTGTAGTTCGTTGCCATTATTGCTATCTATTTTGTCTTGTAACGAGTATCTCGGATCTGGCGGATATGACACAGCTGGATACCGTAAAACAGTCTCGCGGTTTCCGCATGCGGTTTCGCCTCACGAGGCGAATGAAGCTCGCGTGGCTCGCATTTTGCAAAACAGGTCTTTAACGTAATCGCGATTACAATCGGAAAACCGCGTACGTGAATATCCCGTCGTTCTCCAGCATTAAGTTCCTTTCCTCAATGCTTCGCTTAAATGCCACGTTTTCTCCAGCGCACCTTACGATCTAATAACGATACTAAAACACATAAGATATCTGTATATATGAAAAAATAGGATAGCGAAGAAGTAGAAAGACTGATTCTTACGCGTTCTCACGTTCGTAGTTTTGCCGAGCCCTTGAAGCTTCTAATATTTCCTCATAAAAAATTAACTCGTTTTCCATCCTGTCTCAGATACCGTCGTCGGAGAAGATCGCCTCCGACACATACAACTGCTCGCTCGGGCCTCCGTGGGTGAACGTCAGTCTCGCGAAGATGTACAAGAACGAGAAGAAGCTGCTGTATCCGGTGAATGTGGGTCGCAACATAGCGCGCGAATCCGCGCCCACCTTCTACGTGTTCCCCAGCGACATCGAGCTGTACCCCAGCCCGAACCTGCCCGCCAAGTTCCTGGAGATGATCCGCAGACGGGATCAGCCGGCTCTCGACAAGCCCAATCCCAAGGTCTTCGTGCTGTCCATCTTCGAGGTGGATGAGAAGAGCCAGCCGCCTAACAATAAGACTCGTCTGGTACGTTCCGATGATCGCTCGTCGATCCGCGGATCGGCCCGTCGGGGGGGGGGGGGGCAATTAAGCGTCGCGCGAAAGAGAGCACGAGGCCGACGGTGTGTCCGACTGTGTCGTTAATAGTGCGGACGCGAGGGTCGGCAGTGAATCAATGGAACTTCCTTTGACCGTGGACCTTGATACGTAGAATTAGCATCGCTATTGTCTGACCGGCATGCGTACCGCACGGCACGACATGGCACGCGGCACGGCACAATGCACCTTTTGTCGCGTCATATTCAGAACTCGAGCGGCGTAACAGAGAGACCGATTGTAATCTTGATGCGCGTGTGTGCCCGGTGTGTAATATTCCTTTTATTCTTTTTATTTTTCTCTTTTTTTTTTGCCGAAACGCCTCCAAATCAGATATTAATACGCTCGCTAATTGTTGCTAATTGCTGATACGTTTTGGTCTCACAAAACTTGATCGATATTTTGATATTTTCAGGGACAAAAATTAGTTCAAATACATAACAGAAAATAATAGCAATATTTGGGAGACAGGCTCTTAAATGCCTAATTTTTCTTCTTTATTTTTTTGTATTTAGATATATAAATACAAAATAAATACTTATATCGTCAACTACATGCCGATATTTTTAACGAACTTGCAACATAGTGGCTCAAAGCCAGAGCTAAATTTTCCCTCTTTAATAAATTGATAATAATCAAATACGAGATATAATGAAAAACAAATTCTTAAGAAGTTCTTTACAAAGCTCTTCATTACGAAGGATTATGTAAATTTACAGATACAGATGCTGAAAGCGGGCACCGCGATACCCTTTCATAAAAAATTATGCTCCGGCTGCCATAATGTGCCGAAGAGCAAGGAGTGGCAGGAAGCGCCAGAAACCGAGGATCTGCATGTGTTCCATGTCGGCAAAAGGACTGGTAGCTTCGTACACTGGGAGCCGATCTTTATCGGGACCAATAACGATCCTCTTTATGATGAAAGACTCAGTTGGGAGGGGAAGAGTGATAAAATGACGCAGGTAAGCCCACCTGCTTCCAAAAATATAGAATAAGAATGTGATATAAAAAGTGAAAAAAGTCACTTTTCCTCAAATGTTATTGGATTGTTTGAGAAAAAAATAGTCCAATTATAGGTATAATATATAATTTAGAAGAATAATTAATATTTATTTCTGGCGATGTTAATTACATATGTTTATAAGGTAAAATAAGCATATGTGTATTGTCCCTTTATACTTCGATAATTTATTATCAAGTCAAATGCTTACAGGGTTACGCGCTCTGCGTTCTCGATTACGATTTCCTCATTCTGGACAATGCCTTCTTGGTACATCGGCCCGGCATCAAGATCTTCAAGAAGGATCCGCATCGCGACATGCTCACCGCCAAAACGAACGCATTAATTAAGAAGATCATAATGCCGGAGCTAAAAGTGTTGTACGGCACGAGAAAAGGCTGCGCCGTGTAGCCCGTAGAGTCGCGAGCACGTCGGCGCGTGCTCTATAGATGCCCATCTGTACGGTGGGAGCATTTGCGATCCTCGCTGTCGTCAGTAATTTCATCATCTGTAAAACCATCATCGTCATCAAGTCTTGTCGCGCGACAACAAATCATCCGGACTCGTAGCGGATTAATACTGCGACTCGCTCTGGATCTTCGAAATCGTGTTCACGTGCGTTCGATGCGACCCCCTCGCGAGTGGGTCTGAGAAAAATTCGCTACGATTTATAGAGAACTTTTCTCTTTCTCTCTCTCTTCTAATTATGCCAACTCAACGGTGCCGAATGAACAAACGAATTATTACATAAGTATAACTCGATGAGTTTAGAACAATATTGTTTCACGGACACGTTTCGTGCTCGCGCGACAAGCGTCCCAAACAGCACAAAATGTTCTAAAATTATCCAGGATGTCCTGAATGTTTTAGAATATCCTGAGTAGATCCAGATTGTTCGCAGAATGTTTTGTGCTGTTTGGGGTTTTATATTGCGATCATCGTCATTGTTGTCATTACGTTATCTTCGTCTTTAACACAATCGGTATTATAGTGTCTTACGAGAAACGTCGAGACAACGCGAAGGGCGAAGATTGCACGAAAGAAATAATGTACGTCACGACGCTCAAATATTCTCTCGGTGGTAATTCTCTAGCTTTCGTAAAAGAATACTTAGCGCGTAAAGGAATCGTACCACGTATTTTTCACTCAGATAAATCTCTATAGTTGTACATAATGACAAGGTGCCTCATACATTTCAGTGTGTTTACAGGATTACTGCACTTTCGGTGAAAGTTACAAACGAACGGTGCCAGTTCCGATGCGACTTCATGGATCGTGACCGTCGATGCTATGATCGAAGCAAATTGCAGGTTATCTATTTAGGAATCCGATGTTCGTAGAATACCAATTACATTTTGGACAATACAGCCAACAATTTTACAGAATTCTATGTAAAATAATCTTACAAAATTAACCTGTTTACTCATCTTTGTTTAAGATTTTGCGAATTTTCTCCAAGAGTTTTAAAATTAATAGACAATGCTATCTAATCATATTAAAACTGTTGCTGTTAAATTTCTTTTTTACAATATATACTTAACTATATCTTAAATATATCTTTTTAGATAATCTATACTTCAATTGTGTATTTCAAACAATAGATATATTTTTTTCCTTTTTTTTTTCGTTTTTATTTTTCATACAGCAACTTAATTCATTTAGAATATGTTCAGTCTACATTAACTGATGGACTTGGATTGAACTAAATGTAATTGCATATAGATAAGCCAAACGCATTAAAAGTTCGCAATCCGAGCTATTCACCAGTTAAATCGCACATGTATATGGCGCTCACAATTCGAGCTATTCACCAACACGGCGAACACGGCTTTCCTTCTGCCTATAGACATTGAAACAAGAACTTGGCAAGTGTGGAATTATTCATGAATGAAGGAAAAAAAAATCACCGTCCAAGACTGAAGGATATTTGATATAAATTTTCTAGGTCTTCTTCCAGTGAGTTGCCTGATCGATGAATCATTAATTATTTATCTTTGTTAGCGTAACGTCATACTTTCGGACTCCATTTAAGTATCTTATTTCGTGATGGATAATCATATATTTTCGCGAGTGAGAAGACAGAACGACAGAACATGATCGGGTCGGATTGCGAACAGTTAATCCGGTCGACGCGTAATTTATTTGTTGTATTTGCAATAAGAAGCGATTCTACAAAAAGAAAACGAGGAAAGTCTTATCTTGTAAATTCGTTCTTATACACCAAGAAAAAATACGATAAATTTACTGACTTCGGCGATCGCGCAAGCGAGTAATATTTTTTAATAACTACATTAAGTGATAACGTTTTACTCATATAAAAAGCAACGTTTTTCTGATATAAAGAAAGAATATAATCGTATCCGAAAATAATTACGTTCTACAAAATAAATCACTATTTAAGAGTGAATAGTATAGTTCTAAAAAAAGTAATCTTTCGTAAAGTTTCGGTAGTCTTTTCGAGAACTGATAGACTCTATCGATGTTTTATGCGATCAGCTGAGAAATGTTAAAGGTGTTCCTTGCAATATCGTAAAAAAAATTTGAGAACGCTGCCAAGTAAGACGTTTAACTCATTTCCTTTTCTTTCTTTCTAATCTTCATTTTTCGCGATAATTATGCTGACGCGAAATGCGATACAATTGGAATTTTTGTAGCGAACTAACGCTATTGTATATATAAGACGTAAGCGCATAATATGAACCGTATACTTTTCTATCGTCACCCCGAGTAATATGACCAGCGAATGTACATACGATCTTTCGTAATTATTATAAGACTTGAATAAGAATAGTTGAGTCAGTACGTAATGTGTCGAGAATAATTAGTTTGGGCGATTTTTCAATCGAAGCGAGATGCTGACTCATTTTTTTGTGATAATATTAGGGCACAAAGTAATTAATATTCCTGTAATCGTCCGCTTTGTCTGCTGTAAAAGGCATCCTTGAAATCGAATATCATATGATTTCTCGCATAATAATGTAGCATAATCATTGAGGCTGTTAATTAATTTTTCTAAGAATTACCACGATTTATTATTAATATATCATAATTTATTTATGAATATATTGATTGATAAATTTATCAATAGATCAGATTTAATACGTCAAAAGTATATAATCTCGTTTTGTTTACATTACTTTTACTTAAGAATTTGTATATTGAACATTAAACTATTTTTTCTATAAGTATCTGTATAAGTATCTATATAAAAGCACAATTTTTTGAACAATTCGGAAATTATTTAATTTTTAAATTTACATTGATTTTTCTATAGAGAAAAATTGCAACAGTAATATTAGAACTTAATTTAAATTGAGGACATATATTCTATTTTAAAATTATTGATTTAATATACATAATGTTATGTTATAGATCCTGATCTGATACTTTTTCTCGCACATACATCATTCAGGTGCAAATAAAGTTACAAACTGCAAATTAATTAACGCGAAACTTGTTATTACAAATAATACAAATGCAATACAATATTTTGGTTATACAATAGTAGAAAAAGTTATCTAAATTTAAAAGACAATTCTTATATTTCTTATATTTATATCGTTTGGAACAGCAAATAGATTTGAATAAAAAAGTTAAAATATAAGCAAAATAATATTTAAACATTTTTAATAGAAAATATTGGTTAATTAATATTTTTTTCAAGTAGATAACAAAATTTTTATCGTAAATATCTTGAAATTAAGAAACGCAAGAAACAAAAATTATTTGTAGGAAGATTTTGTATTATGGATATCAAATAACTTAAATCAGTGCTCGAAATTAAATCGTAGTATTTTACTGTTGTTGCTGCTGCTGTCTTTTCTTTTTAAGTTGTCACAGCTTTTTGACAATATTACAATGATATTATATGCTTAAACTGAATAATTTTTAATGATTTCACACAATTATCACGACTTAAGACGCAATTTTTTGGTATAGCTATAATCATCTGTTACATCTCACAGATTCTCCGTTTTCGAAGAAAAGAAATTTCGAGACTTTACCTGTCTGTAACTTCTTGTAAACCTTTTGTTCATCATAAAGCTATTATTATTACTATAATCATACAGCTCTCTGATCTATTTCAGACAAATCTCCAAAAATGTATTTGATATTTTCTCATTTAATTTCACGCGCAGACAAAGAAACGTCATATACAAATTAACATGAGCCTAAAATTCACATACAGGTGAAGTCTGGCACTTTCTTTTATCAAACTCAAACTAATGGAGATCTTGGTCCTTTCCGACTTCGAAATAGGAATGCAAAAATATTTTAACTTATTTATAATCCGAATTTATTTGATGTTTCAAATAATGTGAATATAATGTTTTTTTTAATTTTGATAATTTTTTGCTATTGAACAGCCACATCCATAAAGAAGTTGTCGAAGAGTTAATTAACATCCTCTCAGAAAATTAGTATATACATAATATATACTATGTAAATGTGACACGTAGTCTTATATGTCGCCGATAATGTTTTCTGTAAAGTGTAGAATTCATATACATCGCATAAGTTCCTTTT